AGGGGGAGGGATAAATTAGGAGTATGGGATTAACAGATATACACTACTACATATAAAATAGATAAACAACAAGGATTTACTGTATAGGGAACTATAGTCAATATCTTGTAATAACCTATAATGGAAAATAATATGAAAAATATTTAACTAAATCACTTTGCTATACACCTGAAAATAACACAATATTATAAATAAACTATACTTCAATAAAAAAAATTGGGTTGTTTTCTTGTGAGTTGGGAGAGTTATTTATATAATCTGGATACAAATTCTTTATTAGACATGTGATCTGCAATTATTTTCTCCAATCTTGTGGCTTGTATTTCCACTCTCTTAACAATGTCTTTCAAAGAGCAGAAGTTATTAATTTTGACAAAGTCCAATTTATCCATTCTTCTTTTAGAGATTGTACTTTTGGTGTCGTATCTAAGAAATTTCTGCTTAATGCAAGGTCACAAAGATTTTACTCTCGGTTTTCTTCTAGAAATTTTATAGTTTTAGGTTTTACAATTAGGTCTATGATACATCTTGAGTTAATTTTTACATATGGTACAGATATGGTACAGATAGAGGGTTTTAAAATTTTTGTTTTGTTTTGTGGTGTGTGTGTCTTTAGCATATGAACATCCAATTGTTCTTGTACCATTTGCTGAAAAGGCTGTCCTTCCTCCACTGAGTTGCCTCTGCATCTTTGTCAAAAATTAATTGATCCTTTTTCAGGTTGTCCGACGGGGGAGCTTTTTAACCCCTTTCCGGTGAGGTGGGAACTCATCTTCGTTTTCGAATTTAAAAGAACAATGGAACCCTGACTACGTTTCAACAAAAATAAAACTTGTTTTTTTTTTTTCCTTTTGGGTGTTGGCTTTTAACTCTTTCAAAGCCGATTTTGAAAACGGCTGCAGTGTTGCAGATGAGAAGGTAACTTACAAGATTAAAATTATATTTGGTTGATGATGGTTCTGAACAAATACAGCTCTTATTTGAGGTATGCCATTTTGAAGACTGAGACCGTGGAATTTTATCCTTGAGGATAAAGGAAATCTTTGCAATAGTCTGTATTTTATATAGCAAAAATATGAATCCTGAGGCTGAATTATCTAAGGGGCCAGTACAACGAAAATAGATGTTGGTGGAAGAATTTATTTACACCCAGTCAGCTTGAAGAGTCTCAAATGGACCCTACCACTGAGAAATCAAGATGGCAGTCCACTATGGGGAATTGAGAAAAATGGATTAATACAAGAGTGCTGTGATAATATACAACCAAGACAGGGTTCTTTTAACATGGATTTCATGAAATGAATGAAGATATAGGTTTCTTACCCAGCACAAATGGACAGTGAATTTGACTTTCTAGAGACTTTGTATCATTAAGAACATTTTTGACATTTGGAGAAGAAAGATGGCACATTAACAGATGATAGTTTGTATGCCTGGAATCTTTTGCAGTTTGATCTGTATGAGTATGATCTTGTGGAATGTTAACTTTAATAAAATTTCTAACATTTTAAAAAAAAAAATTAATTGATCATGTATGTGTGAGACAATTTCTGGACTTTCTATTCTATTCCATTCAATTATTTGTCTACCTTGATGTCAATACTACACTCTCTTGATTACTGTAGCTTTTTTTTTTTTATTTAAAAATAAATAAATAAAAATAAATATTTTATAAATATTTATAAATAAAAATTTATTTATTTATTTATTTATTTTTGGCTGTGTTGGGTCTTCGTGTCTGTGCTAGGGCTTTCTCTAGTTGCGGCAAGTGGGGGCCACTCTTCATCACGGTGCGCGGGCCTCTCACTATCACGGCCTCTCTTGTTGCGGAGCACAGGCTTCAGATGCGCTGGCTCAGTAGTTGTGGCTCACAGGCCTAGTTGCTCCGCGGCATGTGGGATCTTCCCAGACCAGGGCTTGAACCCGTGTCCCCTGCATTGGCAGGCAGATTCTCAACCACTGTGCCACCAGGGAAGCCCGATTACTATAGCTTTATAATAAATCTTAAAGCAGGTAGCGTAGGTCATCTGAATTTGTTGTTTTCAAAATTGTTTTGGCTCTCTAAGTCCTTTGCACTTCCATATGAATTTTAGAAATTGTCAGTTTATACAAAGAAACTTACTGGGATTTTATTTGGGATTTTATTTGGGTATTGAGTCTATAGGTCAATTTGGGGAGAATTGATATCTTAAAAATTTGAATTTTTCAAGCCATTAACACAGTATATCTCTCCAATTATTTAATCTCCTTTAATTTCTCTCAACACTGTTTTATAACTTTAATATATAGGTCTTGTATTTTGGGGGTCAGATTTATCCTTAAGTATTTAATTTTTATATTTCTTGATGTATTTTAAATGGTTTTTTAAAAATTTCAGTTTCCGATTGTTTATTGCTAATATATAGAAATACGACTGATTTTTGTATATTGATCTTGTATCTTGCAACTGCAAAACCCATTAACGATTCTAGTAGCTTTTTTGTAGAGTGCATGAGATTTTCTGTTATCATGCTGTCTGTGAATAAAGAGTTTTACTTCTTCCTCTCTGTTCCAGATGTCTTTGATTTTTCTTATTGCACTGGCTAGAACTCTAGTGTAATATTGAATTGAACTGGTGATAGCAGACATCCTTACCTTTTCCTAATTGTAGGGAGAAAGCATTCAGTCTTTTATTATGAAATATACTGTTAAATGTAGGTGTTTCATAGATGCCTTTTATCAAGATGAGAAAGTTCCCTTCCAGTCCTAGTTTGCTGCAAGATTTTTTTTTAATTTTTATAAATTTATTTATATTTGGCTGTGTTGGGTCTTCGTTGCTGTGTGCAGGCTTTCTCTAGTTGTGGTGAGCGGGGGCCACTCTTCGTTGCGGTGCGCGGGCTTCTCATTGCGGTGACTTCTCTTGTTGCAGAGCACGGGCTCTAGGTGCGTGGGCTTCAATAGTTGTGGCACATGGGCTCAGTAGTTGTGGCTCGTGGGCTCTAGAGCGCAGGCTCAGTAGTTGTGGCACATGGACTCAGTTGCTCCAAGGCATGTGGGATCCTCCTGGACCAGGGCTCGAACCTGTGTCCCCTGCATTGGCTGGTGGACTCTTAACCACTGCGCCACCAGGGAAGCCCCAAGATTTTTATTTTTAAAGATTTTTATTAATTTAGTTAAACTAAAAAAAACCCCACTTCACCCATTTCTCCTACTCCCTGCCTCTTGCAGCCACCAATCTCTTTTCTGTATCTATGAGCTTGCTTTTTGTTTTTGTTTTTTTAGATTCCACATATAAGAGAGAAATATTGTATTTGTCTTTCTCTATCTGACTTATTTCACTTAGCATAATGCCTGCAAGTTCCATCCGTGTTATTGAAAATGGCAAGATCTCCCCTTCTTTTTTTTTTTTTTTTTGCGGTACGCGGGCCTCTCACAGTTGTGGCCTCTCCTGTTGCGGAGCACAGGCTCCGGACGCGCAGGCTCAGCGGCCATGGCTCACGGGCCCAGCCGCTCCGCGGCAGGGGGATCTTCCCGGACCGGGGCACGAACCCATGTCCCCTGCATCGGCAGGCGGACTCTCAACCACTGCACCACCAGGGAAGCCCAGATCTCCCCTTTTTTACGGCTGAATCATAGTCCATTATAGATATATACCACACTTTCTGTATCCACTCATCCATTGCTGGACACTTCGGTTGTTTCCATATATTGGCTATTATAAATAATGCTGCAATGAACATGGGGGTGCATCTAGCTTTTCAAATCAGTGTTTTTGCTTTCTTCAGATAAATACCCAAAAGTGGAATTGCTGGATAATAAGGTAGTTCTATTTTTAAATTCTGAGGAAATCTCAAACCTCCATACTCTTTTCCATAGTGGTTGCACCGATTTACATTCCCACCAACAGTGCACAAATGTTCCCTTTTCTCCACATCCTTGCCAACACTTGTTATTTCTTGCCTTTTTAGTAATAGTCATTCTAACACATGTGAGGTGATAACTCATTGTGGTTTTGATTTGCATTTCCCTGATAGTTATTGATATTGAGCATCTTTTCAGGTACCTATTGGCCATCTGTCTTCTTTGGGAAAATGTCTATTCAGATCCTCTGCGCATTTTTAAGTTGGATTGTTTGGGGTCTTTTTTGCTATTGAGTTGTATGAAGCTGGAAGATTTTTTTAAAAAATCAGAAATGAGTGTTGGATTTTGTCAAATGCCGGAACATCTCTTTAAAAGATTGTGGCACGCCAATTGCAGCTACTAAGAAAAAGGGACAGTGCTTGGTGGATTTTTCTGTATCTATTGAGATGGCTTTTCTTCCTTTCCTTTCGTCTGTTAATTTGGGAATTATACTGACTGCCTCTAAAATGTTCTGGTCAAGTCACTTCATCTCTCATGACCTCGTTTTTTGCTTTGTCTGTAAAACGGGACAATAATATTCATCTTAAAGCACATTTATGAGGCCGGCATGCATTGGCATATGGAAAATACATGGCGCAAAGTAGGCACTCCATATAAACTTGCCCATATTTTACAGACTGGATCACAGCTACCTGTGTTCATATCTTACCCGCTGCCTCTCCCCCTCCTCCAGGAAAGGACCCTTCTTAATTCTTTCCTGCCTCCCAACGCTTAGTACAGTGCCTCTTGGCACAAAATAGGCCTAAGTACTCGAAAGAAAGTATGAAAGCATGGGTCACTGGCCGCCGCCTACCCACAGCTGCATCTTTTGGCTCTGCGGAAGCATCAGGTCCGGACTCTGACACTGCCGTCACCAAACGTGAAATAGCCGCGGCCTTGTCTTGACCAATCGGAGCCCGTCTTCTGGGGTCCCGCCCCATTCCGACTATCGACCGCTAGACCTGGGAAGTTGACCAATCAGATGTTGAGCACCGTCGTTATCCCCGCCTCAGTGTTGAAAAGGCAGTTTCTGAAGGCGAAGTAAAGCTCGCAAGAGCGTCCCGGCTCCGCCCCACATCTGACCAATCAGGGCTCCCGGATCAGGCCCCGCCCCCCGGCCGCCGAAGCGTAGGGTGGCCTGGGCGGAACTCCCGGCAGCGCAGGCGGCGGTGGGCTGCGCGGCTCCGGGGCTTCCTAGAGGTGAGTGAGGCAGTGGCGGGGCCGGGTATGGAGAGGAAGGGCTCGACGGGTTGCCTCACGTACGCCCCCACGGAGGGTCCGTGGCCCGCGAAGGGAAAGAAGAGGGAGGCTGAGTCTCCCTTTCCCGGGGGTCCCGCCCTTTTGTTCCGCGGCACCGCAGCTGGTACTCTTGCTGCCCCAGTTTCTCTTTTGAACGTCGCCTTCCCGTTACCTTGGTGCGGCTTTAGCTTTCCAGAGCGCCGCCGGAGCCGGAGGTGTTCTCTTTAACACCGTGCGAAAACGGAGATCCTCCAACTATAGGTCTGGCCCAGAGTCAGATAAGGACGGGGGCCGGGAGTCCCTGTCCTGCGGATGAGGCTTTTTACCCCGCTTGTCTGCACCACCCCCCGCACAGTCTGTACTCGCATCTCCGCTGCCCCCCTTCCCTGCATGGGTATATGTGGGGACGGCTCCAGAGTAGCCTGGCTTCTCTCTGCTTTAGCCACTGCAACCGGGCCCTGAGGAGGGGGCCCGGGTGTGGGCGGTCCACACGTGAGGAGTGGTGGTGGGAGGGCTGGGGTTCTGAGAGTAGGGTGTCTGTCTGGACGCAGTGTTAGAAAGGGATCGTGTGTACTGGGGGAGACTCAGTTTCTGGTTGGAGGCATCTGGGCTCGGGACTCTGAGGGAAGAGGAAGCCTCTTCCCCTAGTCTGCAGAAATCCCTTCCAGCAGCATCAGTGTGTCCCTGAGTCTGGATCCCTGGGGGGCCAAAGGCTGGGAGAAGGAGGAGGCAGCTTCCCAGGCCCCCCTCCACACTGTTTGGGGAAAGGCTGGCATAACCGTGTACCCCGGAACCCGGTTTGGGTTCAAATCCTGGCTTTGCCACCTACAAGCTGTGTGACTTGGGGCTAGTAGCTTAACTTCTCTGAACTTTGGTTTCTTCATTTGTAAAAGGGAAGAAGGAGGGAAGGCAGGAGAGAGGGAGGAGTCCCTTCACAAATCTGATTTGTGTTGAATTTGAAAGTTATCATGCTTTACATCTGTGGACTTGCCCTAGTTGTCTTCTACAAATTAATCTAGTAATTTCATAGTTAAGGTTGTTAAAGAGGGATTTTTTTTTAAGATGTTGGGGGTAGGAGTTTATTAATTTATTCATTTATTTTTGCTGTGTTGGGTCTTCGTTTCTGTGCGAGTGCTTTCTCTAGTTGTGGCAAGTGGTGGCCACTCTTCATCGCGGTGCGCGGGCCTCTCACTATCGTGGCCTCTCTTGTTGCGGAGCACAGGCTCCAGACGCGCAGGCTTAGTAGTTGTGGCTCGTGGGCCTAGTTGCTCCACGGCATGTGGGATGTTCCCAGACCAGGGCTCGAACCCGTGTCCCCTCCATTAGCAGCAGACTCCCGACCACTGCGCCACCAGGGAAGCTCGTTAAAGAGGGATTGATCTCTTTTGACATGTTAGGAAACACGCTGTGGCCAGTGTAATAATAATAGGCATTTACTGAGTGCTTACTGTGTGTGCCAGGCACTGTACTAACATTTAATATACATGATCTCCTTTAATCCTTACAACAGTCTTATGAGGTCAATGCTGTTATCATCTGTTTGGCAGATGAGGAAACTGAGGCACAGAGAGCTTAAATAACTTGTCTGAGGCTGCACAGTTAGGGAGTATCAAAGTGGGGATTTGAACCCCGGCCTCTGGCTCTGCAGGGCAGCCTCCTCAGCGCTATGTTGTGCTATCTATCTTGGCTTCAGGTAGGAGAACTTGGCTGTGAGGGCGCTCTGTGGTCCGGGAGTCGGTGACACCTGTTGTGGGAAGCCAGTGGATACGCCTGGGATGGTGGAGACCAGAGATCTGGCACAGCTACGGCAGCTCAACCTGGAGCTCCTGAGGCAGCTGTGGGTCGGACAGGATGCTGTGCGGCGGTCCGTGGCCAAGGCAGCCTCAGAGGTGAGCGCCTTGGCCAAGTCCCGGGAGTGAGGGAGGGGCTGCCTAACCCTCAGGCCAGAATCCAGGGCTTCCGGGTCCTCTCGTGCAGCATGCCCATTTTACTGATGATGAGAAAACTGAGTGAGGCCCAGAGTGGGAAGGGACTGGCCTGGGACATGCAGAGGCTGGAGCAAGGGTGAGGACCAGGCCTTCATGCCCAGTGCAGGCCAGCTGGGTAGATGGCTGGGTGAACTGGCCTCTCTGTTCCAGTCAAGCCTGGACTCCAGCAGCAGCTACAACTCAGAGATGCCGTCATCCCAAGAGACGTCCTCAGTGGCCTCAAGAGCCTCCTGCCCACAGGATGCCCACCGAGGTGACCCCTGTGATAGGGACGGGGCCAGCTCCGGGGTGGTCTCTCTCCCACCTGCCAGGTGCCTCCACCAGGAGCCCCCGGGCCCACTGAGGCCCTGCTCGGCTCCCCTGCTGGCCACCTCAGACTCGAGCGACCCAGAGCCTTCAGCAGAGCTGGACAGTCTAGACACCCAGGAGGCACAGGCCCTGAAGTCCCTCCTGGCTCAACGGAGCAAGCTGTCCGAGGTAATGCGGGTGAGTGGAGCATCCACTGACGGGCACGTCCTTGAGCCTCAGTTTCCCCCCTGACAGATGCACTCATGGGCAGCCTCCCTTCCAGGGTGAGGCTCCTGGGAGGTACCGTGAGTCAAGTCCAGCTCAGCCTAAGTGCTTGATAAGTTGTGGCCATTAGTTTCTCAGACAGCACTTTGGGAAGAAGGTGACCAGCCCCATTATGCAGATGGGAAGACGGGCGTTCAGAGGACAGACTTGTTCAAAGACACACATGGAGGCGGGTGGGGGCCAAACTCTTGTCCTCCAGCCCCCAAGCCCTCGGCTGAGCCCTGGGGCCCCTGTCAGTGTATGAGTTAAGACACAGCCCTTTTCCTCCCTGCAAGGTGGGACCTCCTTTGGGCCAGGCCTGCTGGCCTAGCCCTTGCCCGTCTTTGCCTCCCTCCTCAGCCGCGAGTGACCAACAAGGAGTCTCCAGTGCCTGAGAAGAGCTGGCGCCTCAGACCGTGCCTGGGCTGCGACTGGATTGCAGGTGTGGCTAGCCCCCGTGCCCGGGGCGCGGGTGGAGGCCCCCGCTTGCTTCTGCGCCTGCCTGCGCCCCCAGCGGGCGCTGCTGCTCTTTTTCCGACTGTTCCACCCCCCTCGGGGAGCACCTTCAGTACCGCGTCTCCTGTCTCAGCCCTTGGCACAGTGACAGGCACAGAGATGGCGCTCACCGAGTGTTTGTTGAATGAATGAACAAATCAGAGCTGCTGTATTTTCTTGGCATTTATTGTGTGCCAGGCCCCTGTGAAACTCTGTATGCGTGTCATCTCTTTATGTTTTACTGCCCATCCCCCCACTCCCCCAGCACTCAGTGGCTTCCTGGCTGGTCTCCCTCTGGGCTCTTTCACCCCCATTATCATCCATTTTCGGCACAGCAGCCAGAACTAATGTTTAAACACGGGAATCAGATCACGTCACTCAGAGTACTTAGCACTTAGAGTAAAATCTGAAATCCTTATATAGAATTTTGAGGTGTGATCTGGCTTCTGCTTGGCCCCGTGACATGGCCTCTTAACCATCTACCTTCTGACTCCTCACGCCGGCCTCCTTGCTGGTCCTTGAACTTGCCATGCTCACGGCCACCTCGGGGCCTTTGCACTTGCTGTGCCCTTTGCTTTGAACGCACCTCCCCAGGTTCACACCTGCTGGTTCCTTTTCGTCACTGAGTGTTCAGCTCAAATGGTAGGCCTTCCACGAGCACAACGTTGTAGGGCCACCACACCTGCATCCTTGCCTGTTGCATCAGCCGTTTGTATGTTCCTTGTATCATTCATTCATTCTCAGAAGTCATCTTGTTTGCTTGTTTCTTGTCTGACTTCTCCGGTGGACTATAAGCTCTGTTGGAGCAGGGGCCTGGCCGTCATTTTTGTTGCTGTGCTCCCCGAGTCTGAGCCTAGAACGGTGCCTGGCACGTAGTAGGCCCTCAGCCAACGCTGGCTGAGTGAGTGAGCGGGCGGCCCTAGGAGGTTGGTGCTATCGGACCCCCACTTTCACAAAGGAGGAAACTGGTGTACAGAGAAGTTGAGTTGCTGCCCCAAGGCAGGTGCTCTGTGGGGCTGCTGAGACCCTGCGGTGGTGGGGACACAGGCCCCATCCCAAGGACTTCCCTGACTGCCAGCTCACTGCTTTGCTTCCTGTCTCTAGGAAAGTAGAGGCGGCTGCCCCCTGCCTGCCCTGTGTGTGTGTGCGTACGTGTGTGTGCGCACGTGTGTGTGCGCACGCCTCTCACCCCCCTTTCCGAGCCCCCGTCCTGTCCCTGCATTTGTGTGCTTGGGCCCCATCCCTTCTTGGCTCCCAGAAGTTTTTTTTTTTAATTAATTAATTTATTTATTCTTGGCCACGTTGGGTCTTCGTTGCTGCACATGCGCTTTCTCTAGTTGCGGCGAGCGGGGGCTACTCTTCGTTGCGGTGCGCAGACTTCTCACTGCAGTGGCTTCTCTTGTTGCGGAGCGTGGGCTGTAGGGGCATGGGCTTCAGTAGTTGTGGCACGCAGGCTCAGTAGTTGTGGCGCATGGCATAGTTGCTCCGTGGCATGTGCGATGTTCCCGGACCAGGGCTCAAAACCGTGTCCCCTGCATTGACAGGCGGATTCTTAACCACTGCGCCACCAGGGAAGTCCCTCCCAGAGGGTTTTTTCCCTGTAATTCTCTCCTCTCCTTCCTCCACCATCACTCTGCCCCGTCAGTATATGAGCGCCAGGGAATATTAATGACAATTGATTTCAGTGAGTGCTTATTATGTGCCGGGCCCTGTGCCAAGAGCTTTCCTCTGCTTCGCTCCCATTCACTCCTTAACTTCTCACAATGATCTGATTAGGTGGATGCTGTTACTGTCCCCACTGGCAGATGAGAAGGCTGAGGCATCAAGAGACTGAAAAACTTAGCAAAGTCTCACATGTGGTCAGGGGTAAAGCTGCAGTCTGTGATTTCCCATCCTGAGGAAGCATCGCTCCCTTTATATCCTGCCTTTGCTTCTAGTTACTGCCCGTGTTCTCTGCTTTTCTTTATAACAAAACTCCTCAAAAGGGCCATCTAGACTCGCTTTCTCCAGTTTCTCTCCCTGACTTTTTCTTAAACTGGACTTCAGCCCCTGACACCCTCTGACGCTGTCTTCGGCCGGGTCAGCAGTGACCTCTGCATTGCCAGCTCCGAGCTCAGTGCTCAGTCCAGAGCTTTCTTGGCCCCTGAGTAGCGTGGACACAGCGGCCACTCCCTCCTCCCCGAAGCTCTTTCTTCCTCTGACTTCCAGGCCCGGACCCCCGCACTGGCTCTTCCCCACTTCCCTGGCTGCTCTATCCAGTCTCTGCTGGATCCACTTCCTTGTTCCACATTCCAGAGGACCCCCCTCAGTGCCGAGGCTCTCCATGCTCTCTTCTCCCTGACTTTATCTCTACCCGTGCTGCTCCTCTGAATTCCAGACTTGTATATCTGGCTTTCTTCTCTGCAGAGCTCATTAGGTATGTTAGACTAATCTCAGGTCCAAAATCAAGGTCCTGATTTCTGCCCCACCTGGTCCTCCTGCAGTCTGTTCTATCTCTGTTAGTGGCAACTCCATTTATGGAGCTAATGGCCATAATCTTGAGATCAGCCTTGATATTTTCCTCTCCTTTTCAAACACTGTGCATCCTGGTAGTCCTGCCTTCCATGTATTTCTAGAATTTTACTGTTTGTCTCCACCAGGATGCCTGCAGTAGCCTCCTAACTGGTGCCCCTGCTTCCCCTCACCTTGCAGCAGCCAGAAGGGGGGTCCTATAAAAGTACATGACTGATCTGATTGCGTCACTCCTTGTCCCCAAACCCACCGCTGGCTTCCCAGCCTCATCTCCTCCACCCTCACCCCTACACCTATTTTTACCTCCTGGGTGTTCCTTAAACATACCAACCACAGCTGCCCCAGGGCCTTTGCATTTGCTCTTCTGTCTGCCTGGGATGTCCCCACGGCTCCCTCCCTCCCTTCGTCAGGTCTCTGCTCAGGTGTCACCTCCTCAGGGAAACTTCCTCTGGCTCCCCTGCCCTACCAAGTTCAGTTTTCTGACTCTCTTTTATTTATTTATTATTTTGGGCTGCGTCGGGTCTTAGTTGTGGCACGCGGGCTCTTCATTGCGGTGCACAGGCTTCTCTCTCTCTAGTTGTGGCGTGCAGGCTCAGTAGTTGCAGCATGTGGGCTTAGTTGCCCCGTGGCATGTGGGATCTTAGTTCCCTGACCAGGGATCAAACCCGCGTCCCTTGTGTTGGAAGGCAGATTCTTAACAACTCGACCACCAGAGAAGTCCCTCCTGACTCTCTTTTATTTCCTGGCAGGTGTCACCCCTCAATGTTGTATTACAGGTTTCTTTGGTGACTAGCTCGTCTGTTGCCACATTAGAAAGTAAGCCTCATAAGGGCAGGGGCTTTGTCCAGGTAGCTGTTCTTTCCCCAGCACGTAAAACAGTGTCTGGCCCGTAGTAGGGGCTCTATAAATATTTTTTGCGTGGACGATTGGATATGCATGAGGGTAGACAGACACGAGACAAAACCAACAGTCACATGAGTGGAGGTCCCCTCCAGGTCTGTACGAGGTATGGTGGGGTCAAAGCAGGTGGCCTGGGGCGCCAGTGCCCAGCTTCCCCTGAGTCTTGGCCACACAGCAGCTCCTTTGTGTGTTGCCCGCTCCAGGGTCTCCGGACAACAGCTCTCCCGTCACCAGCAAGCCCGAGGCCTTCTTCTCGAAGCTGCAGAAGTTCCGGGAAGCCAACAAGGAGGAGTGTATTTGCAATGACCCTGAGTGAGCAGCGGCAGGCGCGGGGCGGGCAGGGCGGCGGGCTCAGGGCCTGTGTCACCCTGGCCTGCTCACCCTCTCGCCCTCACAGATCCCAGTTCCTAGGCCTGCAGGAGAGTAGTGCTGCGGAGGGGGACCACGAATGTGAGTGTAAACGCTCGGCGGCTGCCCCGTAGCCCAGCTAAGGCCTGGGGGCCTGGGGAGGCAGCTGGGGACGGGGGGGGAGGGAGGCCTGGGGTCCAGGCAGGGGGGCCGCGAGCCTGGGGTGAGCTGAGGCCTGGCCTCAGGGGGAACAGGGCCTGCCCTGTGCTATCCACCTCGCCCCTTGTCCGCGCCTTCCGTTTTCTCCCAGCTGCCTCATTTTCCCATGTGTCCCCACTCCCTTCACCTCCTCTCCACACAGGGGTCGTCTGGGTGGGCAGCGGGGGGGGATGTTCCAGCTCAGTCACGTGGGCACCCAAGTCTTTGCTGTGGGTTTGCACGAGCAGCATACAGTGTATACATGTGTGTACATATGTGTGTGAGGCGTGTTCCTATGGATGTACGTGTGTGTGCACCCTGTGTGTGTGATTACAAGTGTAGGCACGTTCATGTGTGTCCACAGATATGACTGTATGAAGCCGTGCTTTGTGTTTGCACGGGTGACATTTGCACATGTGAAGTTGCTGGCATGTGCACGCGAGTGTCACGCTTGAGTAGAAGGCGGTGCTCAGTGTTGTTGCATGTGAGCACGTGTGCGTGTGCATGCTCTGTCTGTGTACACGTGGGTGAGCCTGTGTGGTTGGGGTCCAGGGACCTAGGTTCCCTGGCTGAGGGGGGCTTCTGCTTCTCACGGATCTCACAGGTGTGTATTGTTACTGTGTCAACCGGCGCCTGTTTCTGGTGCCTTCGGATCCCGGCACCCCCTGCTGCCTGTGCCGGACACCACGGGGCCAGCGGGGTCCAGAGACCCTGGCAGAGCCAGCGCAGGTCAGGTGAGTGGCCAGAGTAGGCAGGACACCGGGGGGAGCTGTAGGGGCAGCCGCAGCTGAGGACAAGAGCAGAGCCTGGGGCCTGTGGTTTTGAGGGAGGGCAGGATGGGCCACAGCGGCCTGGAGGCGCCTGCAGCAGTGCCCCCACTATTACCCCCGCCAGGGTGAGGATCCCGCTGTCTGTCCTGGACCCCCCGCACCGGTACCGCATCCACCGGCGGAAGAGCTTCGACGCCTCCGACACGCTGGCGCTGCCCCGGGTGAGGCTGGCCTTGGGGCTGTCCCCTGTCTGGCTCAGGTCTCTGGACGTGTCCTGAGGCCCAGAGGGCCAGGGACTGTCCCAAGGCCAATAGCAAGGCTGGGCCGAAGGACCGAAGTCTCTGGGGTTAGGGCTGGGCCGCCCATGTCATGCGTACCGTGCTCGTTCCCTGAGGGAGGCTGGCTCCCCACCCAGCCCCTGGCTTCCAGGCCTGTGCGCCGTGCAGTGCATTGGCCTAGCGCACACGGGCCCCGCCTCTTGCGCTCTCGTGGCCACATGCACAGTCCTTAGGGCGATTATCTCGTGGAGCCACAGCAACTGAGAGTGCAGGCACGACTGTTACCCCACGTTACAGATGAGGAGACGGAGGCAGGGGGAGGTGACTTGTCCAAGGTCAGCGGGATGGAAGAGCTGGGATTTCAACCTAGGTCCTTTGTGTCTCCTGGGTAGGATAGGGGTCACTGGGGACCCCACTCATTCCCAGTGGAGTCCGGAGGTGCTGGGGTTGCGGGGAGGAGAAGGGGTACTGAGGAAAGTCAGTTTGCTCATCTGTAAAATGGGTACAACATACTATCCTCAGGCTCATGGGGTGGACAAGGGGCAGGTCAGTGAGTCAATACCTGTCGGGGGCTTGGGGCAGAACTTGGTCCACAGGACGTGCTCCATCAGCGTCCACGGCCTTCCCTCCACCCATCTGTGGTCGGGGCCCAGGGCCTGGGTCAGCAGGGTTAGGAAAGGGAGGCCTGGGGTAACAGTGGTGGATAAGACCCCTGCCCTCGGGGAACCTCAGTCCGTGGGGGACACTGATTGGGAGGCCCCTTCACCCTCATGGGGGACACAGCCCTGTCCTAGAGGATGCTGCCAGTCCAAGGGGAGAGGTACAGCCCCTCCCTGGGGTGTGCCCAGTCAGTGGGGAGCCCCGCTCCAGGCCAGGCACCTTAACCCTTTGCTCTCCACAGCACTGCCTGCTGGGCTGGGACATTCTTCCTCCGAAGTCTGAGAAAAGCTCAGCCCCCAAGAGCCTGGACCTCTGGTCCAGTGTCTCTTCTGAGGCCCAGCGTCGGAAGCTGTCAGCCACCAGCCCTTCTCACCGGGTACGGTCCAGGGAGCCCTGGGAGAGACAGATGCCTTGGAGCGGCCTGGGGACCGCAGAGTCCTGGGGGGCAGGATTGGGGTAGGAGTGCAGAGCCTGGAAACGGCTCTCTGTGGGGTTCCCTGGCCCTAGCCCTGGCCCTGACCCACGGCACCTCTCCAGGCACCACTGCTGCCTGCTGGCTACCCCACCCCACCCTGGAAGGTGACCCCAACTCTGAGATCCAGGAGGGGACGAGGCTGCCCCCAAAGAGGCCCCCCTGACACTCTTCCCTTCACTCTCCAGGCCGTGCCAACGTGGGTCCCAGCCCCACCCTGATCTGGTCAGAACCCTCCATGCCCCAGCCCCATGCCGCCCGGCCGAAGCCCTGAGGACTGGCCACTGGGAGGTGGACAGTGCCCCTACCGTCGTTTCAGCCTCTCTCCTCCGGCAGGGGCGCCCACGAGAGGGGAGCTTTGCCCAGCCTCAGCTGGAGGTGGACTCTGGCCCCACCTTCCTAGGCTGGGCCGGTGGGTGGCCTCAGGCCTGTCTCCTTCCTGGGGACAGAGGAGACCCTGGGGTTGGGCCGAGGGGCTTCTGTGACACGTTTGTAAATAAAGCTTAGCACTCCCGCAGCTCCAGGTTCCGACGTGCGCCGGCTCTGTCCTGCTGACGCCCTCAGAGCCCTAGAGGCGCCCTGGCCTCGGCCTGCCCCCCTCACTTGCAGAAGGACACCTCTGACAACCTGTGCTGGGCAGGGTGGATCCAGTGCCCTGAGTGTGGCTCTTTGTGCAGCTTCTAACTCTGGGTAGGTGGCCTCCCCACCAGATAGGTGGGGGTGAGGCTCCCCAGAGTAAGGCTGAGGCCAAGGTCAGCGTTAAAAATCCATCTCAGCAAGGGGCTTGGGGTCTCAGGCTGTTCCCTGTGGATGAGGCTGGAGCTGTGACAGTGGGGAATGAGTGAGCTCTCCCCTTATTCTTGGCCCCTGACACTGGGGTCCAGTGATGGAGGGACTCTCTTGAAGTCCCTGGGCCAGGTGGCTCCTTCACTCCCATCTCTAGCCCAGCCCTAGAAGCCACGGGTGATCTAGAACCCCGTCAGGGGCACATGGGGAAAAGGCCAGGAGGGTTGGAGTCAGAGGCAAGGTTGGCCGAGAGCCCAGACCTGCCCTCCTGGATTAGTAAGCAGCGCCTGTCTTTATACTCCCATAGGTTGAACAATATGAAATTCCTGATTTTTAGGTACAAATGGAATAGCTGGGGAACCTAAGCCCAGGGAAGGCATGTGCTTTTTCTGAGGTTTCTCGCTTAGAGCCGTGGAACTATGGCTGTGGTCCGTGGCTCCCACCTGGAGCTTGTGAAGCTGAGAAAACCTTTCCCCGTCCAGCAAAGCACATGTATTAGTCAGGATAAGCGAGGTTATGCCACGGTAACAAATTAACCCCCAAATCCCAGTGGTTTGACATAAAGGCCTATTTCTTGCTGACTTGCTCATACTACCTGTCTGTCATGGGTCACATGGGGCCTCTGTTTTGACATCATCTTTTGGGGACCCAGACCAGTGGAGGCTCCACTGTGGGGGGACATCACCAGTTGCTTGAGCCCAGAAATGACACACAGGTCACTTCTGCTCATGGTTCATTGGCCAGAACTAGTCACAAGGAGTTGGGACATGGAGGGGGCTCATGGGGTATTGGGTGAGTGTTACTGTCCTCCACATCCGGACTTCACCAGCTCTGTTCCCGCAAGGCAGGCCTCCTGCGCAGCAGAGGCCATTCGCAAAAAAACCAGACACTACGAGCTCTCGCCTAAACGTCTTCCCTTGCTCTTCCCGGCTCTGGAGTTCCAGCCTCCAACGCCTTCAGTAGCCAGGCATGTAAGGTGACTGGGAGTGGGGGACTCAGGGCCACCCGGCAAGCATGCATCCCCTCCAGAGGCTTTCAAGTTCAAATGCCTCTGATCCAAAGTACGTGTCTGGGCAGATTCAGCAGCAGGTCATGGTTTGCCACTTGATTCTAGCACCTGAAGAAACAAAGTCTCTTCCACATGTAATTTTTTAAATTAATTTTTAAAAATTTATTTTCGGTAGTCTAAAACATAACAAAATTTACCACTTTTATATGTGCGGTTCAGTGGCCCTAAGTCCGTTTACATTGCTGTGCAACCATCACCACCAACCATCCCCAGAATTTTTTTCTTCTTGCAAAACTGGAAATCAATACAGATAAAACACTGAGTCCCTATCTTCCCCTCCTAGCTTCTGGCAACCACCATTCTACTTTCTGAATGTGACTACTCTAGGGACCTCGTACCACTGGAATCATGCACTATGTCTTTTGTTTCTTATTTGGCTTCTTTCATTTAGCATAATGCCCTCAGAGTTTATGTTGTAAAGTGCCAGAATTTCCTTCCTTTTTAAGACTGGAAAGTATTTCAGGGCTTCCCTGGTGGCGCAGTGGTTAAGAATCCGCCTGCCAATGCAGGGGACATGGGTTCGAGTCTTGGTCCGGGAAGATCCCACATGCCGCGGAGCAACTAAGCCCGTGTGCCACAACTACTGAGCCTGCGCTCTAGAGCCTGCGTGCCAAAACTACTGAAGCCCGCGCGCCTAGAGCCCATGCTCCCAGCAAGAGAAGCCACCACAGTGAGAAGCCCACACACCACAATGAAGAGTAGCCCCTGCTCGCCGCAACTAGAGAAAGCCCGGGCGCAGCAACAAAGACCCAACGCAGCCAAAAAAATAAATAATTTATTTAAAAAAAAATTTCCTTGTATGGATCTACTGCATCTTGTTTATCCATTCATCTGCCGATGGACCTTTGGGTCACTTCCACCTTTTGTTATTGTACATAATGTATACATATATCCCCTCCCTCTTGGACCTCCCTCCATTCCCCCCATCCCCGCAGCTAGGTCATCACAGAGCACTGAGCTGAGCTCCCTGTGCTATACAGCAGGTTCCCACTAGCTATCCATTTTACACATGGTAGTGTATTTATGTCAGTCTAATCTCCCAATTCCTCCCACCCTCCCCTAACCCCGCCCTGTGTCCACACACACGTCCGTTCTCTACATCTGTGTCTCTATTCCTGCCCTGAAAATAGGTTCATCTGTACTATTTTTCTAGATCCCACATATATGTGTTAATATATGATATTTGTTTTTCTCTTTCTGACTTACTTCACTCTGTATGACAGGCTCTAGGTCCATCCACATCTCTACAGATGACCCAATTTCATTCCTTTTTATGACTGAGTAATGTTCCATTGCATATATGTACCACATCTTTTTCCATTCATCTGTCGATGGACATTTAGGTTGTTTCTGTGACCTGGCTATTGTAAGTAGTGCTGCAATGAACATTGGGGTACATCTGTCTTTTTGAATTATGGTTTTCTCAGGGTATCTGCCCAATAGTGGGATTGCTTGGTCATATGGTAGTTCTATTTTTTGCTTTTTAAGGAACCTCCATACTGTTCTCCACAGTGGCTGTATCAGTTTACATTCCCACCAACAGTGCAAGAGGGTTCCCTTTTTTCCACACCCTCTCCAGCATTTATTGTTTGTAGATTTTTTGATGATGGCCATTCTGACTGTTGTGAGGTGATCCCTCACTGCAGTTTTGATTTGCATTTCTCTAATAATTAGTGATGTTGAGCGTCTTTTCATGTGCCACTTGGCCACCTGTATGTCTTTTTTGGAGAAATGTCTATTTAGGTTTTCCACCCATTTTTTGATTGGGTTTGTTTTTTTGACATTGAGCTGCATGAGCTATTTGTATATTTTGGAGATTAATCCTTTGTCCATTGCTTCATTTGCAAGTACTTTCTCCCATTCTGAGGGTTGTCTTTTCATCTTATGGTTTCCTTTGCTGTGCAAAAGCTTTTAAGTTTCATTAGGTCCCAGTTGTTTGTTTTTATTTTCATTACTCTACTTGGTGGGTCAAGAAGATCTTGCTGTGATTTATGTCAAAGTGTGTTCTTCTTATGTTTTCCTCTAAGAGTTTTATAGTGTCCAGTCTTACATTTAGGTCTTTAATCCATTTTGAGTTTATTTTTGTGTATGGTGTTTAGGTAGTGTTCTATTTTCATTCTTTTACGTGTAGCTGTCCACTTTTCCCAGCACCATTTATTGAAGAGGCTGTCTTTCCTCCATTGTATATTCTTGCCTCCTTTGTCATAGATTAGGTGACCATAGGTGCGTGGGTTTATCTCTGGGCTTTCTATCCTGTTCCATTGATCTGTATTTCTGTTTTTGTGCCAGTACCATACTGTCTTGATTACTGTAGCTTTATAGTATAGTCTGAAGTCAGGGTCCCTGATGCCTCCAGCTCTGTTTTGGTTTCTCAAGATTGCTTTGGCTATTTGGGGTCTTTTGTGTTTCAATACAAACTGTAAAATTTTTTTCTAATTCTGTGAAAAATGCCATTGGTAATTTGATAGGGATTGCACTGAATCTGTAGATTGCTTTGGGAAGTATAGTCATTTTCACAATATTGATTTTTCTAATCCAAGAACATGGTATATCTCTCCATCAGTTTGTGTCATCTTTGATTTCTTTCATCAGTTTCTTACAGTTTTCTGAGTACAGGTCTTTTACTTCCTTAAGTAGGTTTATTTCTAGGTATTTTATTCTTTTGTTGCAATAGTAAATGGGATTGTTTCCTTAATTTCTCTTTCTGATCTTTCGTTGTTAGTGTATGGGAATGCAAGAGATTTCTGTGCATTAATTTTGTATCCTGAAACTACCAAATTCATTGATTAGCTCTAGTAGTTTTCTGGTGGCATCTTTAGGATTCTTTATGTATAGTGTCATGTCATCTGCAAACAGTGACAGTTTTACTTCTTCTTTTCCAACTTGTGTTCCTTTTATTTCTTTTTCTTCTCTGATTGCTGTGGTCAGGACTTCCAAAACTATGTTGAATAATAGTGGTAAGAGTGGACATCCTTGTCTTGTTCCTGATCTTAGAGGAAATGCCTTCAGTTTTTCACCATTGGGAATGATGTTTGTTGTGGGTTTTGTCACATACGGCCTTTATTATGTTGAGGTAGGTTCCCTCTATGCCCACTTGCTGGAGAGGTTTTATCATAAATGGGTGTTTAATTTTGTCAAAAGCTTTTTCTGCATCTGTTGAGATTATCATATTGTTTTTATTCTTCAATTTGTTAATATAGTTTATCACATTGATTGATTTGCCTATATTGAAGAATCCTTGCATCCCTGGGATGAATCCCACTTGATCATGGTGTATGATCCTTTTAATGTGTTGTTGGATTCTGTTTGTTAGTATTTTGTTGAGGATTTTTGCATCTATGTTGGTCAGTAATATTGGTTTGTAATTTTCTTTTCTTGTGTGATTTCTTTGTCTGGTTTTGGTATCAGGGTGATGGTGGCCTCGTAGAATGAGTTTGGGAGTGTTCCTCCCTCAGCAATTTTTTGGAAGAGTTTGAGAAAGATAGGTGTTAGCTCTTCTCTAAATGTTTGATGGAATTCACCTGTGAAGCCATCTGGTCTTGGACTTTTGTTAGAAGATTTTTAATTACAGTTTCAATTTCATTACTTGTGATTGGTCTGTTTATATTTTCTAATTCTTCCTGGTTCAATCTTGGAAAGTTGCACCTTTCCAAGAATTTGTC